AAAAAAAAAAAAAAAAAACAAAAGCGACACCCAGGATATCAATCATAAGCGCAAGCCGTAATCAGACCGTCAAGACATACCTAACGCTGAGGAATCGCACTCGCTATGCAGACAACCACAATGGAGATGATAAAAACACATCAATAAAACTGTCCACACTTTTGGCGCTCTTGCAAAATCGTCAAGTCAAATCATCATCCGAAAGATGCGCCATGCGAACATTCAACAGGGTATAAAACTGATCATGACAAAGAGTCGAGAGTTCCACACAACCTTGAAATCAGAAGAAATTATTTCTTGAACATGTAGTGTCCGTAGATGCCACCGACTTCTCCGACGGCAACAGGGATCTTCCTCATGCCCCACCATCTGGCCCCCATCTTCCAGTCGCGCGATCCGTCGTCCAGAGCGTAGTTCGGCATAGAGGCAGGGTCGCGAACATACCAGCCGCGACGGCCCAGCTCACGCACCGTCCAGCCGGGCGACGTTTTGGCATTCCGAGCTCTCTCCCGCAGAGGAGCAATCAGCTTGTCACTGAATTCGATGACTTGCAAAGGGTAGGTCTGCTGCGAGAGAATGACACAAGCATTCGGGTTGAAGACCGTTCCGATCGTCAACTGGGGAGCCTTGTTGAGATCCAGGTAACGAAGGGTGTGCGGGATCCATTCCTCAACAAGAGGGGGTGGCACAGCCTCAAGGGGGGTGGGCGGAAGGCTGTCGATGGGAGTGGCAGGCGCACTCTCAACACCGGTGGCAGGCCGAGGTGGAACGAAGAACTGGTTCAAATCCTGACCCGACAGCTCACAGGAGCTCAGTCCCAGCTCCTCCAAGTGCTTAGTCAGAGGGATCAGAGCTTTGGTGTGAGCGGAGGTGACCTTCGCACCGCCCAGGTTGAGGGAGCAAAGGGAGGAAGGCAAGTGCGGAAGAAGAGCCGAAACGTCTTCCTCCTCCAAGAGGCGGGAGCGCGTAGGATCGGTCAAGAGGTTCAAGAAGACCAGCGAGCCACAGACAGCAGGGTGAGTGGTCAGGAACTCCACCACCCTGGGACCACGCAGGCGACTGCATCGGGACAGACTGAGGTGGGTGATCTGGGCGGTCTTCGGGATCGAGAAAAGCGCATCCTCGCTGACCTGAGTGTGAGTGAGATCCAAGTGAGTCAGGTTGACCAAGCGAGGGAGGAGAATCTCAAATGCCACCGACGGCAAGCTGCTGCATTCGTGCAACGAGACTCGTCTCAAGTTAGGCAGCGCAGCCGGGAGACCAGGACCCGAGGTCAGCGCTTCGAGGAAGAGGCCGGAGAAAGACTGGGTCGAACAGCCGCAGAAATCGACAGCGGACAGGTTGGGAAGGCCCGTAAACAGCTTCCGGATAACTTCCATGCTGAGATCCCCCTCCACGTGCTCCTGGAGCAAGCATTCGCGCAGGTTGGGCAACAATTCCAAGCACTGTAGCAGGGTCTTGGAGGTAAGGTTCTGAATCTCCGAGTTCATCTGCTTAGTCCGTCCCAAGCCCACCGAGGTGAAGTGAGAGAAGTCGAGACGACGCACCAAAGTGCCCAATGCCGGATAGAGGGAGATGTGGTTCAATGCCTTGGAGAAGATGATGGAGTGGGGGAAAGTCATGTTCCTGTACAACACACTAAGCGTAGCCGCGTGCAGGGTCTTGGAGGTCAGAAGGCATGAGATCAGATCCACATTGCGGGGGGTATATCCGTTGGGGGGTACATCAAGCGCCAAGAGGGAGATGATCTGGTCTGTCGTCCTTGTTAGCACGTTTGCATGAGCAGGATAGAGACAAGAGGGACTCTCTTACCAAGCACCTCCGGTGGGACCTTCTCCAGGCGCGAGGTTCCCGGGACCGGCTTGGGCTGCTCTTCCTCCACAACAACCTGCTTCTCTTCCGGAACCTGCAGGGTCTGGGTCGGCGGTTCGGCCACGGGGGAAGGCGACTCCCAAGCCCAACGCGAGTGCAATTGGTTCAACCCTCGAAGATCGCTGTAGCTGCGACTCAGGCTTTTGCCTCCCAAACGGATCTGCTTCCATCCCAGAAAGCCACCACAGGGGCAGCAGAAGTCGGGAGTCGGCTGCATCTCTAAGGGGTTAGGCTTAGCGGTCTCCTGAGGGGAGTGTTCAATGTGGGTATCGACGAACGATTGCGCAATGCCTATGATGGATTAGTCAATGTTCAAACTGCCTCACGCGACTCGGGAAGACCTACCGTCGACGTCTTCTTTGATGGAGCCAAAGGACTCCCGGCGACGGCTGCTAGACCGTGAATGTTCCGCCGACGACGAGCACGAGGGAGAATGAGGAGAAGTGCTGCGCGATCCGTTGGAAGGCGAGGCGTTTCCGGAGGAAGTGTATCTCACGAAGGTCTGCTTCGGAATCGCGATCGCGGTTGGGACGGTGGCGGAAGACATGGTGGGCTATATTATTGTGGACGGGGAAAGGCTCTATATGGAAGTAGGGCCAGTCCCAAGCGAATGAGGAAGACGCCGCGAAGGAGCGAATGAAGGAAGAAGAGGGATCGGATTTGTTGTGTAGAGTGGTGGTGGTGGTGGTGGTGTGGTGTGGTGTGGTGGTGGTGTGCCGGCTGTGGTAAGTAACTGAGTGAGTAGAAATGGTGAGGCGGGCGAGATGGGAAGGGAAGACGGAGGAAAGAGAAGGGAAGGAAACAGAGGAAAGGAAAAGCTTTTTTTCCTTTTTCTAATTTCCCTTGGCCTCTTCTCTCGCTTTCCCCAGATTCCAGCAAAACCCCCCTGGCCAGCAGAGTGCACTAAGAGGGGCGAGCGGAGACGCAATCAACAGTTTTGGAGGTGGTTTGAAGTCGACGGACGGAGTAAACGGAAAACTGTTAGTCACAGATTGCAGTAGACTGGGATCATGCACTCGAGTGGAGAGCTGCTGATGAAATCGCCGATCACCTCTGACGACAGTGCAGAAATGTGAACGAAAGTAGGTTTGTTCTTCAAGAACAACAAATAAAGAGGAGTTTAATCTGTTGAACAACAGCCAGAGTGTTGGTGTGGGTGGTGAATTGGAGAAGATGGCAAACAATCGAATCGTAGAATAGAAGGAAAGAAGAAAGGAAAGGGAAAAAAAAGTAATGAGGCGGCAAGACACCGACGTCAAGTTTCTATTAAGTAAGGCAAATTGTCAAGGGCCCGAAGAGCAAAGGAAAAAAAAAAAAAAAAAAGGTTCTGGCGCAGGATGACAAGCAGTGGTGAGTGGAGCCGGAAAAGAAGCAAATCAGCGTGGATCGGACAGCGGAGGGCTTTTAAGGTTCCATCCATCCAAAAGGAACAAAGAACGGTCGCCCAGATGAAGTTTCCAAAGTACCGAGTCCCAGAAGTATGAGAATGCGGAGGGTAGTCAATACATGTGTACTTTACTCCGTAGGTACGAAGACCGTGTACTACTACCCACTCCGGAAGAGGAGATCAAAAGGTACTGTGGACCATTTACTGATCCTCCAGCATCAGCATCATCATGAATCAGATGTGCAACCTCACTGCATCATCCTGCATCTCCAGGCTAGCTAGGCTCACGGATCTTCTTCCCGGTTTTCCTTCTCGCCTTGTTCATTCGCCGACATCCGTAGGGACGTGGATCGATCGCGACTAGGGGTGGTTTATTTTTATTGGATCTTATCAGTTGTCACTAAGTACGGAGTACTAATCCATGATCCTTCCAGAGCTGACTCAGCTACTCTCCTGCTTGCCGCTTCCGGGGGAAAATCCATTGGAGCTTCCAGTTCATGTACTGTACAGTAAATGGAAATACCTCAGAATACGCGAATGCGAGTTCGACCATTGATGAAGGTCGCAATGCGCAGGTGATCGTGTCCCATCAATTTCCATTAGGATATGGAATGCAGTGATTTGATGACTTGTCATGGCGCCATCCACCGGGGTTTGGCTGCATTCTATGACATAATGAAAATCCGCCTTCCTGCAGCCCCGTGACCCGGCCCAAACGGGCGGTCCGGCACTCCTCCGCCGACCGACCGACTAACTAATGTAACTAGTGGCACGGTCTAGCTGGGCTTATTATTTAGTTAGTCTTACATAGTACGGAGTAGTCAACTATTATGACTAGTTAGTGGTCTAGACACTCCCCGCAATAACACGGGGAATAAATATCATGTTCAATCAATGCTTCACAATGCAGGGAAACTCAAGTTGATTCGAGTTTGTCCAAGGTAGCAACTAGGGAATTGGGTTTGTCTTACCCCAGAATCCCCCCTCGACCCCTCGACCCCTCAACCCCTCTTGCATATGAGGTATTCCTTACCTAACGCGAACCTTGGGGGCGGAGGTCTCGTGATCACGCGGGGAGCAGCCCCTCCATATCCCCTCTTCTTGAACAATGAAATCTGGCACTTTACACTAAGGTCCCAAATCAGCACACATCCCTGGATTCTTGGAGAGGGTTTCAGAGGAACCGTTCCCGACTCGGGCTTAGTTTCGGGGAACGAAGCTGGACTGAATGCTTCCGTGCAGTGCATGTCTCCAGCTCGTTCCCTGAGGTGACTCTAGTACTCCGCCTGCTGCACCGGTTCGGGATCGCATCCGCACTCCACTGCTAACCGACGAGTGTTCTCAAAATTGAGCCTGGAGGACGATCAATCAGCCAAGCCAACCTACATAGCCTTACAGCGCTTGATTCACCCTTCAGAAGTGCACTATTCCACTCCGTTCTGCGATAGTTCCGCCCTTGGAGCCCCTGACCAACCACCCTGTTTCTTGGCCCGGTCTTGGCTTGTCCCTTGCAGTTCCAAGCACCTGGGCATAACCCTTTCTACGAAGCTGAAATGTTATTCTTCCATTGAGATTCGTGTGTCGTCCTGGACGTATGCCTAGACTACCGTGTGAAGCGAGGCATGACTTCAGCTTCTATCTCATCACGTCAGTCGCAGCTTGAATCACCCTTTCCAGAACGTTACCAATCGGGGATCATGCATAGCAATGGATGGATGAGGCAGTGGAATGACGCATGGCAAGATTGCCAAGAACGAACCCCCCTTCGGCTACGGGAGCCGCCCAGACGCGCCCCCACCTCGCTATTGGGATCAATGGGGGCTGTCACGGGTCCATCCATCATAGGATCATAGGGGGGCGACGATCCGCAACGATGGGACCTCCGCTGTCTACTAAATATGGATAGGTACCTCAATATGGTCCCATTCTCGTGGGTCACTGCCCTCTCACCATCCCCCCAGTTGTCTGTGACACGCCTCACTTGGGTCACCCCAAACATGGCACCACCGATTTACGCGAGGTTATCCTCCAGCGATCGAACACATATTGTCATACCTGCGCGAGTAGTACAATCCTATTGATCTTTCACGCCATCGAGCGTCGCTCGTATCACAAAAAGCCAGGTCGGCATTTTCCGGGCCCTAGCGCTGGACCTCACTGTACTGCACCTCGCCCATTGGAATGGTGACTGTTTCCTAGGTCGCAAATGACGTGGATTTAAGGGCAGGATTACTCGCGAGAATTGGAGAGGTGCAACTGGTCTGGGATTCTAAATTAATTAAAAAAAAACATCAGGACGTGCCACACGTCAGCCTCACTCAATACCAGCAAGCCGCTCGACTCAACGTATAAAGCCAGCTCTATCCCTTGTGTCACGGCTGCCAAACACATCACAGCAGCACACAAACAAATCCAGAAACTGTCCCCCGGGAGAGCTATACTCGCCCCAGAAGACCAACTGGTGTGGTAGCCTTCGCGGCAAAGGCGATGCAGCCGCCCACCAAGGACAGCACACCGCTGAAAATGGACGCCTGCAGGAACCCTCCGTAGTGATCGAACAAGGCTCCAATCACAGGGGGTCCAATCAAGGCGGCGACAGAGCTGGTAGCGATTCCCATCCCCATATACGTCCCGCTTTCCCGGGCGTCCTTCATGCAGAGTGTGAATGCCGCGCTCGCTCCCGAGATGATTGTGCCCGATGCGAACCCGATAAACACCGCATATACCACCAGCCCCGCTGTGGATTCCGCCTTGGTCATACAGAGGCCGATCACACCGGTGGCGATCCCTCCCATGGCGAACATGTTCAGTCGCCCGTATTTATCAGCGAGGATCCCGGGGATGATGCGTCCGAACGTGGGCGCGGCGTTGAGGATCGCCAGTAGGTACGAGGCCAGCGTGGCGTCCATTCCCCGGGTCACTGCATAGGTGGGGAGATAGAACAACGGGGTGAACAGTCCAATGAACATGAAGAAGAAGGCGGCGATGATGAGATCGAACCGGGCTTGCGTGAAGGCCTCCGGGATGAAGAACGAGGTCGTCCGCGGGGGCAGGCGAGGCTTGACAACTGTACATGCGAAAACCATCAGGGGAATGACCACAAAACCCATTACTCGCACCGACCAACCGAACCCAAGCGACGAGCTGTTCAGCATCTTGGATAGCGCAATCGGAAAGATCACGCCCCCGATCGAAGAGCCGGACACGATCAACCCGAGTGCCGCGGCTTTCTTCTTGTCAAAGTACTGTGACACGGCGGCGAAAGCCGGCAGCTGGAGGAAGGCCATGGCCGTGCCGAGAAGGACGCCCTGCGCCAGCATGAAATGCCAGTATTTCGAGCAGAGACTGGTCATCATCATGGCGAAGATGTAGACGACTGCCGCCGGACGGATGACCTATGTCTCTCATTAGTAAGCTGATGGGCACGCTCAATGGGCGTCGGAGAACACTCACCCATGTGCCATAGCGATCGAACAATGGACCTCCAAGTCCACCGGCGGCGAATTGGAGGAATGTACACAGCGATCCGATCCAGGAGATCTTGCTCGACGACTCGACGCGCAGCTGATTGGCCTCGTAGTATTCCTGGAACACGCCAAAGGAGTTCGCAAACCCCAGACAGGAGAACATGATGCACGCGCCTCCGGCCGCAACGAGCCAGGCCTGGCGCCCGCCATCGGGGGCTGCCTCGTGTTCCGCAGGTGTGGACGCGGCTTTCTCCACATCCGACATCGAAGCTGCAGTGGTTTCGGCGTGACCCATGATGCGAACTCGGGTTGCACAATTATAATTCAAGTGGTTGAAGGCTGATCTTAGGTCTTGTAGTATGATGCATCAGGTGAGATAACACCATGGCTCTCACTACCTTATATACGACTTGGACATGACGATTTGCTTCTAGTTTGCGCGGAGATATCCGTAGGGCTGACGGGGCGGACTCGGATGTCGATCGGAGAATGGGTGTCCATTCGGACCAACAGCGCAAGAGCACCCCTATAGCACATATTGCTTGTCATGGGTCTTCACAGCAGCTACCCAGCCCAGAACTCAATCAGGTGGCTGGCAGGAGGCTATACGAGGTTAATACATTCCTACTCAAGCATACACTTGCAACGTTGTGTGGCTTATCTCTTCCTCAGAGTCAAATGAAAGATGTAGTCATTTGTACGGAGTAGGTTGCCGTTGATGTAGCAACTAGCTAACCACTTGAAGCAACACAATTATACTATGAATATAGATGAGCGTCGCAGACTTGCCATAATTGTATGTAGACAGAAAGTATCAACATTCAACAAATTACCATTGCTGTTGGGGCTGCACATTATCGACCTTTTCATGTACGATCACATGACCTGTCATCTCGGCCAAAGGGTCGGGAAATTCGGCTGTCTCCGAACGTCAATCCCCGCTGCATGAGTCTGACATTTCCGTGCACCGCTGTGACCACTTTCGTTGTCTTCTTGAGCATCTGTCATTTCACTTGTTCTCCAGCAGCTCTACCTTCTTATCTTGATCTCCCGAGCGATCAGCATGATAGGACCCGCCCGTCGACGTCGAAGACCAGCGGTGTAGGTTTCCCTCGGAGAATTCCCCTCGCCTCCCTAACCCCGCGCTGACAATCAAAACACATCAGCTCGTGCTCTCTGTGCAGACGCCGCAAGATCAAATGTGATCGTCAACTGCCGTGTAGCCACTGCACTCGCTCTGGGAATGAGGCCACCTGCGAGTATGACAATACCGAGCTTTCTCGGCCTCCGCAGTCGGCGTTCGGTGTCACGCCCACCAGACCAGACCCATATGCGATACCCACTGAGGGTGCATTGCATACCAGTCGCACAGCCCCATACACAATCCCCACTGGTGGGACATTGCATACCAGCCGCACGGCATCCTCCGTGCCCAGTCCCCACTCCGCTGCACATACCAC